CTTGCATTAGAGACATAAAGCTGCAGGGGTTTTGTTCCTTGCAGGTAGGAAGGGTAAAAGTAATGAAAATCTGCTAAAGACTGAAAATAATTGAATTCCTTGTGCTCTTCCCATCTTCTCTAACTCCCAGAGCATATGAATTCATTGGCAAGATAAGCCAGAGACTTTATCCACTTGGCCACACTGTCTTGGTTTGTATCCAGGGGACTTTACAGGTGTAAAATTAACCACAGGAGAGCTCTTGTATTGTTCTGACTGCAGTGCAAACATATGGAGAGCTACAACTGAAAAATAATTAGTACAATATTTGAGTACATGCCTGTTCCCTCCTTTTGTATGTACAACATATGTAAATCACTCTTCCTTTTGTTTCAGTATCTGAATAAGGAAAAGTAAAACTTCCTTGTTTAAAATATGGCTATCTCTGTCAATAGAACCTTGTGAAGATAATCTGCTTGTAAGGAGAGATTAGCTTTGTCCAGAAAAGCACACAAAAAGAAAGGTTTTATAGCTTGGCATGAGCTGGAGAGTACCTTGGACTGATCCTGAAAAAATTCTATGGCAGACTTCTCTAACTTGGCTCAAACAAACTTCAAATAGCATATCTCCTAGAAAATAAATCTGCATTCGACTGATACTAAGAGGTCATGGTCCATCAACTGCACTAAAATGTTTGTAAAGCTGTCCCAATGTGCGCCCATACAATGAACCAGGGAGGCTCCCTCCAAGGTTTTTTTCTATCTGGTACAGAAAATGTATTTATAAGTTCACTTAGATACACACTTATTCAGCAGGCTGGAGTGATTCCAAATTAAGTGGGTTTTTAATTAAAAAAAAATCTACCTAATTATATCTTTTTCCTCATGAGACAGAAACAGATACAAAGGTGCCATTCTGATTTCTCTAATAAATAGCTTGCATTTTATTTACTTATTAAGACCATTTAGCGCTCTGGAATAGTCCCAGTTCAAGGGCTGTAAAATGCCCATTTTTTATTATTTTTCAGTGGCCATTTTCCCCACTGTGCCTGTTGATCTCATCGAAGAGCTGAGGCATCCGCTCCCAGATTTCTCATGTGCCAAGTGTAGCGGAGCAGCTGGGTGGCATCACAGGGGGAAGGAAATGAGGGGGAAAAGGAACAGCAAGAGGAAAGAGGGGAGGAGGGCACAAATGGACAAATAGATAAAGTGGAGCACGAACGCACACTGCAGGGATGCACTTTTGAATAGGAAGAGGTCTGTACAGCAGCAAGATGCATACCTGGAGATGACAGATGTGTTCCCCTAAAGCACTAATCTGTTGTCTCAGTTATAGTTCTGGGTCTTTTTCTCCCCTTCTGCAAATGCATGCTTTCATTTCTGACAACAAACACTATGCTTTTTGGTTGAGGATCTAGAACACTGTTGCTATTAAAATAAATTAAAATGCATATGTAGCACTTTGTTGTGTATGCACACAAGTTGTGTGTATAGTCACTATGGATTACTGCCCCAGAATGTGCCATCATAAATTAGAGTGCAACTGCTCCAGTCTATTAGTAACCCACTACTGGCAATTGCCTGGGGGACTATTTCATGGCAGTTTCCATGTGCAAATATGGTATTTGTTATAGAATCACAGAACCCTTAGAGTTGGAAGAGACCTTTAAAGGCCATCTAGTCCAAGTCCCCTTCAATGAACAGGGGCACCACAGCTACATCAGGTTGCCCAGGGCCTGATCCAGCCTCACCTTGAAAGTCTCCAGGGACCACATCTCTGGGCAACCTGTTCCAGTGCCTCCCCACCCTCACTGTTAAAGATCTTTTCCTTATATCCAGTATCCCAGTATTTCCTGTTTTTCTATTGCAGCAAACAAAAAGAAACTCACAATACTAACCACTGCCTAGTTACAAATATGAAATCCATTAGGTCAGTTAGCAGCAGAAGAAACACTTGGGTCCATATTTAGGGTCATTATCAAATCTGCTTCAAATGTAGATGCAGTCAGCTTAATGCAATGCCTCTCCTCCCATCAGTGTGTATGTATGCACGTGCATACACAAGCACAGAAAACACGCATACCGATTATTTGCATGTGGAAATGCAGCCAGGTGAGCTCTGCAATGGCATGAAGGCACACAAATCGGCATGTGTGAAAATGAGTGTAAAAAAAGCTCCCTTTAAACATTGGATTTGGAGACTGACCTCCCAGTGCCATTCCCTTGGCCTAATTCCCTATGGCGAACACCAGCAGGAGCAGATTTCCAGCCCAGCTGCAGCAGCTGACAGCTCTGCCTGTGGCCTGGATTTGAATTGCTCTGCTGTTAGTGGTAGTGGGGGACAGGGTTGGCTTGTGGGAGCAAAGCTTGGGGGTAAGTAGGGCTATCCCCAAGGCTATGGTGGAGCATAGGTCTGTGTCCAGATGTATGCACACTGCTGGTGGAGCATAGGTCTGTGTCCAGGTGTATGCATGTTACAGACAGCAGAAACCTGGTGTTAAACTCTCTCTTCATCATCTACACACGGTGGAGATAACCTGGGTATCTAACCAGGTTCTAACCTGGTTATCTGGCTTTTGCTCAGTCCGGGGATGAAACTGCCTTCTTGCCAGGCCCCTTGATCTGGATGGGGACAGGACTCCCCAGGTCTCTCCGTGGGCCCCCTTCCTCTCCTTCAGACAACAGACAACTTCTGGAGGGAGCCATTTGGCTGGCTGCTGCCAATTGCTTCATTTTCCTCTCCCATTGTCTGTGGTGGGGGAGATGGCCAAGTATCTCATAAACAGCAGTGTTAAAGATGATCTCAGAGTGCCAACTGTGAGTGGAAAAAAGGCAGCAGCAGGCAGCTGGAGGAGGAGGGCTGGGCAGCCCCATCCCAGCCTGGGGGCAGGAGCAGCCCATCAGGATGAGTAGGCAGCAGGGTAGGTCCTGGCCATCCTTTTCTGGCTTGAAGAGCCTGTGCAAAGTTCAAGGGCTCTTCACAGTGAAGCAGCTGGGCAACACCTGCAAGCAGTTTACTTAAGTCCTTACTGGCTTATTTTGGGAATCTGACTGGGTGCCAGGCTGGAGGCTTCTGAGGAAGTAAATACTTCAAGACAAAATACTCAAGTGTTTTGCCTAAGCCGTGCCTGTCGGCAGGGACAGAAAATAAAACAAAGCAAAGTGTGCATTCAGTGAGAGCCTGGCAAGATGGAACGTGGAGCTAAGAGACGCATCCTGAAGCCAGGATGGAGGTGGCTGGGCGCCAGCAGGGCAGCTTCAGCCAGGCTTGTTGCTACTTGCAAGGCCAAAGCCCAGGTCTAACAGAACTCAGAAACTCTACGGTAAAATAAGGAATCCAAGAAAGACCATGTAAGACCAAAGTGCTCCCATATTTATCACAGATATACATGCAGAGTGAGCTAATAAGGCACTACAATACTCATGATAAATACTAAATGCTAAACTGAGAAAGCGTGATCTTGACAACTGAGTAGTGACGTGGACTTGAACCAGATGAAGGAAACAAGCCAGAGAGTTGTGGTCAGTGGAACAGAGTGAGTCAAGTTGGAGGCCTGTATCTTGTGGAGTCCCTCACGGGTCAGTACTGGGACCCGTACTATTCAACAGACTCATCAATGTCTTGGATGAGGCAGTAAAGCGCACTGTGAGCAGGCTTGCTGATGCCACAGAACTGGGAGGAGTGGCTGACATGCCTGAAGGCTGTGCTGCCACCCAGCGAGACCTAGACAGGCGGAGAGTTGGGCGGGGAGAACTTTAATGAAATATAACAAGGGCAAGCATTACCCCACATACCAGCATAGGTTAGGGACTGACCTGTTGGAGAGCCGCGTAGGGGAAAGGGACCTGCGGGTCCTGGTGGACAGCAGGATGACCATGAGCCAGCAACCTGCCCCTGTGGCCAAGAAGGCCAATGGCACCCTGGGACATAGTAGAAGGGGCATGGTTAGGAGGTCAAAAGAGGTTATCCTGCTTCTCTACTCTGCCCTGGTGAGACCGCATCTGGAGTATTGTGTCCAGTTCCGGGCCCCTCTGTTCAAGAAGGACAGGGAACTGCTTGAGAGAGTCCAGCACAGAGCCACAAAGATGATGAAGGGACCAGAGCATCTCCCTTACGAGGAAAGTCTGAGGAAGCTTTGGCTTGGAGGAGACTGAGAGGTGACCTAATGAACGCTTATAAATATGTCAAGGATGTCTGTCAGGAGGATGGAGCCAGGCTTTTCTCAGTGACATCCAGTGGCAGGATAAGGGCAATGGGTACAAGCTGGAACATGAGAGGTTCCACATGAATGCTAGAAAAAAAACTTCATGGTGGTGGTAACAGAATATTGGAACGGGCTGTCCAGAGAGGTTGTGGGGTCTCCCTCTGTGGAGACGTTCAAAACCTGCCTGGACACATTCCTGTGTGACCTAATCTAGGTGTTCCCAGCAGGGGGATTAGATTACATGAGCTTTTGAGGTTTCTTCCAATCCCTGACATTTGGGGACTGTGATTCTGTAACTGGTATGGAGAAGAGACAGCAGCTATTAAAATAAAGACTTGGTTAAAAAAAAAAAAAAAAAAAGGACTATTTATATATATATTTATTTATTTATTTATAATAAATAATACAATTTTTAAGCTCATCTTCTCTTTTCTCGTTCTCTTCTTTTCTCCTTTTCTGCTTTTCTCCTTTTAAATTTCCCTTTTCATTCCCTTTTTCCTTCCCTGCTCCTTTCCTCTCCTCCCTTCCTTTCTTATCCTTTCTTCTTTTTTCTATTGGCTCCATCGCTGAAGACAAAATTCTCTTATTCTCCTCCATGTCTCACTAGAAAAAGTAGAGTCGCAACTTGAGACTATTCACCAAAAAGAAAAGCTGCCTCCTCCCTACATCCCTCTGCAGCAACAGCAAAGGCGGGAGTGCCAGTACCTGTCCGTTGGCCCAAGCGGCCGGGAGAAGTTGCTCATCACGGCCTCAGTGTGACAGCGGGTGAGGATGACCACCGCCTGGCACAGGAAGGGCAGGAACGTGCTCTGCTGCGCAAACGACGTGATGCTGCGCAGGATGTAGAGGATCGGAGGCACCTGAGAGAAGAAGAGGAGAAAGAATGACTTGCTGCATCCTGCACTCTGCAGGGCCCAACCATGGACATTCAGCGCATGAGCAGTGCCTGCTCCCTTGACGTGCTGCCAAGTCCTAAGCCTGAATTTCATGCCAGCTACCCTGGTCTCCGTGCCCTGAGCACAAGGGGCAAACGGCACAAGTCATAGTGCAACAGCCAGCAAAAGTCCAAGACACGTGAAAGAAAGTCTCTTACGTTCCAACAGATGTCCTTCCCGTGCATCTGCAGGAAGGTGGTCATCCACTTCCCAGCAGCACGCACACGCACTCCGTTGGCTTTCCGGATCGTCTCCTTGATGGCAGTCATGAAGTCAACGGTGCGTTCTAGGGGGAAGTTCCTGCACACGATCTGCAGAGAAATGAGAAGCGGGGGAGATCTCATCACTGCTCTGCTGCAGCTGTCTGTACCCTGCTGTTGATACGGAAGGCGGTTGAGCCTTCTCTCAGCTTCTGCACCCATGGTGTTTGCTTACATGCAAAGCCTACCTCCCAGCAGCCACAATCACACATGCATGCAAGTGCACTCACACACACAAACGCACATCATGGAGTCAGAGCCTTGCACTGGGTGCCTGAAGGCCAGACATAGCTCAGAGCCTCCTGCTACTTGCACTGGGAAAAGAGCACTCAGGGTAACAGCTCATTTTGGAAACAGTGTTAGAGGCTGGGAGCAGCACAGGGTCGTGCAGAAGCCTACCCACAGAGATCACACCACCCCTTCTTGGGTCCACATACCATGGCCATTTTGGATGTGGTCTGGAGCTGAGAGGCGATGCTGCAGGCATGCAGCCCCTCGCACAGGCTCCCGATGTCACCCGTCTCGATGTCTGTGTTGGTCGCTTTGGCTGGAAAGAGCACAGGGAGAAAAGGGAAGTCATGCTTCTGGAAATGAAACTGCTTTCCACGGGGGAAAGACAGAGGACAGGGTGGGGACAAGAAGAGAGCTGTGCACGGTGCCTCTCCCTCCTGTAAACAGGGCCCAGCCCATGGGGCTCTGGTAGTGCTACAGAGGAGAGCAGAGGGCTGGAGCACGCCTGCTCCACTCACCTTGGATTCGCAGAAGGGAGCTCAGACAGGTGACAGCCAGCTGGCGGGATGCAGGCATGGGGTCACAAGTCAGAGGCGCCAGCAATCCCACCAAGGAGCCAAAGTGTTCACAGACATCTCTTCTCTGCAGGGGTGAGAGGCAGGAACAAAGCTGTAGATGGCCCCAGCTCTCCCCACTGTGCCTTCCCACCGTGACACAGCATGCACAGCTGGGCAGAGCTCGCCTTCCAGCTCAGGGGCGCTGGGGAGGGAGCAGGGGGCATGCGGTGGGGCTCTTTACTCACTTGAAGCTCTTCACAAACAGACAGCAGCTGGGAGCAGGTCTGCAGGGCCCTCTCTCGCTCCCACACGTTGGTTGATACCATTGATTTCTGCAGGACCTGGGGTAGAGCATCTGTCTCACTGAGGATGTCTTTTCTTTCCCTTCCTGCCACCCCTCTCCCTGTCCCTCCTTTCCCAGCACTTTCCCTTAGGGCCTGCCCTGTTGCTCCATGTGGCCTCCTGCCTCACTGAGCACCGGCACTGCTGCCCCGCTCTCTGCAGACACTCCTGCCTCCCAACCCAGGAGCTTTTCCTCGGCTGTGGCCTCCAGGGGCTGACTCCTGCTTTCCCCCTGCAGGGCCCATTTCTCTGCCCATTTCAGATCGCAGTGAGCTGGCACGTCCGCAGGAGATTTCTCCCCCTCTGATCCTCCTCTCAGTCCCCAGATCTCTGCCCCCGCTATTGACAGGCACCATGCTTTCTCCCTTGCCCCACGCATACTCACATGGACTATGTTCTGGAAGAAGCCGCCGCTGGGCTCTGTCTCCAGCAGGACCACCATGAGCCGGCCCAGAGCTTTCAGTGCTGTTTGCTGAAGCTGAAAGCAGAAGAGGGGAGTGACGTGTAGCATCACGGCTGCTGCCAGAGCAGAGGTTGTGTGTGCTGAGGTAGGGCTCTGACCGAGAGGTGGCCGGGAAAGTTACGGCAGGTTACCTGCAGGTACTGTGCTGCTTGCTGTGACTTCCTGATCTTCAGCATCATCTCTGCTGAAGGGTGTGTCACGATGTTCTTGCAGCACAGGACCAACATCTCACGCAGGTCCTTGCTTTCAGAAGAGGGCTTCAGCTTGCTGAGAGGAGGAAAACAGGAAGAGAAATTAAAAAAGGTCTTTACCTCCCCAGACTGGTTCAGACAACATCTGAGTTTCTCCTAATTGACAGCTACAAAGCCAATACCCCCACCCAGCTCATGCTGCTGAGCACTGCCTTCACTTCCAGCAGCGCCCACCTCCTCCCCGGCAGCAGTGAACCACCTCCCGCTCTGGAGGGAAGGAGACCCCAGCTCTCCTTCTCTTTCCTGCCAGGGGACAGGAGCACCAGGGCCTTTCTCCCTGCCCAGAACCTCAGCTTTGCTGGGCACAACAGCCCAGCCATCTCCCCTGCTGTAGATGTGGCTCCTCCCCCCCTGACCCCTCCAGGCCCTCAGCAGCTACCCAAAATGGGGATCACCATCCTGACTTGCAACCTCAGCCCTTACCTCAACTGCTCCAGGGCCAGAACCACCTTGAGAGGCACTGGGGAGACAGGGATGCCCGAGTAATACTTCTTCATCAGGTCCTGCAAGTCCCAGAGAGACAGTGTCAAAGTGGGCAAGGGGCACACAAGAGCTGTTCCACCCGGCCCCTAGACAGGCACAACTGCCACACACCAGCCCCATCACTTTCCCATGGAAGCGCTGCAGGATGCAGCAGCTGGTGCAGGCAGCAGCTGCCCAGCTGCTGCCTGCCAGCACCCAAAGTCCCCACCAGCTGGAGACGTGTGGCTGCTGGACACCTGCATGCCCCCAGGGAAGCGAGCCTTGTGGCGCAGCCCAGAACTCCTCTGCAGACAGCCCTGTCTCCAGGCACTCACCATCAGGATTTCCAGCAGCTTGCTCTTCAAGGAGGGGTTAAAGCTTGCAGAACCACCCACAGCTTGGAAGGCAGAGCTGCAGTCGGTGATGCTCTGCACCAGCGCGAGGTTGTTCTGCAAGTCCTGAGGAGCAAGAGACAAGAACGTTCTTTGAACTGCGGGAAGGGACAAGAGCTGCAAGGGACACATGTGGGGACAACGCTAAGGGAAGGGCTTGGATCTTTATCTGGGCACAAACAGTTCCCCGAGGGACCTTTGGAAAGGGAAGGCCCATCTCAGCATCTCCCCGTGTGGAGGGGCTGCAGCTGGGCGCTCTGACACCCTGGCACGCTTTGAGCTCTCACCCGGCAGCTGCAGCTGTAGAGCATCAGGACGTTGCCCACAATGTCTCCCTCCAGGTGGGCGAGCAGCTGTTCTTTGGAGGCATGCAGTGCCACGCTGCCGTGGGCCAGCATGAGAGCGCTGCGTGTGGCATGAGCTCTCGTGCTGTCCAGCTGCATCTGTGTGGGAAGAAATGCCTTGAGACACTCGCTAACGGCCCCCAGTGCCCCGCGACGCACCTGGGCTCCCAAGGCAGGAGCTGCAGGGAAAATAAGGCAGAAGAATGCCAAGATGGAAACCCGTAACGCTTTACCTTCTTGCGCCTGGAAATCCTGGCATTGCGGCCTTTGCACAGCCTGGACGCAAACATGGTGAGCGTGGCCAGGACTGTGTGGAAGTTGTTCTCAGCAGCATGGCTGAGAAGAGAGATGATTCCCTGCACAAAAGAACAAGGGGCCGTTGGCACAGGCCTGAATCTACAGGTCCTCTGCTGAGCAAAATGGCAGCAGTGCGGAGGTTGAAAGGCCCAGAGCAGGGCCAGGAGAAGGCCTCTGCCCCAGGGCCAGAGCGGGGCTGCTCACAGGAGCTGGAGGAGAGGAGAGCTCACCTGGGCCTTACATGGCTCCTCTGCATTTGCCTCCTCCAGGTGCTGCAGCAGCTTCTCCTGCACCCTGAAGACTCCCTGACAGGATCCCAGCACCGTGCCCAGAGCCTTGTACAGGAATGACTGCATGGGAAGGGAAGGAAGAAGCTGAGATGTGGCAGCAGCTTAACCTGCTGGTGGAGGGCCAGGTGGGAAGGAGCCAAGCTCCCTGGCGGTTGCTGAGAGCAGCTGCGGGGCCGAGCTTTAGCCATCCCTGGGCAGATTGCAGGGAAAGGCCTCTGGGGGGCACAGACTGGGGAAGCAGCATCAGCATCCCGCGTGGGCAGAGCACCAGCCGCAGCCCCAGCCCCAGCTGGACACCTGCAGCTGCACCGCTGGGTAGAGCCAGGGGGGACTCACCTTTTCTGCAGAGCTGCTGGCAGAGCTGCTCAGCCGCTGGCTCAGCTCACAGCTCAGGGCCTCGATCCATGCCTTCTCCTCTATTGTGTCCAGCGACAACTTCAGGAACTGTTGGAGAACAGGAGAAGACAATGTTCCCTTGCCCTTTGCCTCTTCCCTCGCTCCCAAGTTGCTGCAGCCCTCTGGGGAGAGGTGCCTGGAAGAACAGTGCCTCTCCCAGCTCCCCCAGCGTTCCCTCCATTAAAGCCGCCTGCCCTCTTCTCCTAAGACCCCCCTGGGCTTGGGACAGAGCGGAAGAGGCAGCGCCACAAAGGCGTGCGGCCGCTCCGCAGCAGCGCTTGAGAGGCTGTTCCTGCCCCACAGTGGCTCACGTGGGAGCGGGGCTACTTGGGGCAGGCAAGCACTTCTCTGCACCGCGCCTCCCGGCAATGCTGTACCTTTAGCAGACGGCGCTCAAACTCGGCAGTGTCCGGGAAGCTCTCATTTCTCCCTGCACAGCAATAGGAAGAAAAAGACCCTTACTTGGGATCAAGGCACAGAAGAAGAGCTGCTGCAAACCTGGCTTGGCCTGGGCACTTGACACTGCCAAGCTGGGACCTGCACCCCCTCCACAATGACCTGTCCCTCCCCACAAACACTGCCTCCACAGGAACACGGAACTAAGTGCTCCAAGGCTGCTGTCTGAGGGGACATGAAGGGCCCATCCACATCCTGGAATGGGCAGATCTCTGGTGGGATAGGTCCCTGGGCCTCAGGGCTGACTCCCAGGAATGAGAGCAGCAGCAGAGCAAGAATTAGGCTGCAGGCAGTGCTTCCCCTCTGCCATGCTACAGAGCTGAATTTTAACTCCCCCCCCCTTCCCTGCCTCTGCCTCTTCTTCCCCTCCAGTACTTTACCTTCAAGACACTGCAGCAGCAGGGGGATCTCAGTAGCCCACATGGCCCCCACAGCCCTGTGGAACCTGCTGTGGAGGTTTTTCATCAGCAGTAAGGCAGCAGCTTGGAGTTTGCTGCCTGCTACAGGGCTGCCTGCCACCACCTGAGTGAGAGCAAGAAAAAGCAGGGTCACTTCTGCAGCAAGAGCAACAGCTTCCCCCCAGGATGGAAGCAGCTCGGCTCTGCTCTGGCAGGCAAGGAGCAGCCAACAATTTTGCCCATGGCCATGCTGCTTCCTCCTGGGTGCTCGTAGAACCGGCCTCTGGAGCATCTACTCACCAGCAGTCGTGCCAGCAGTGTCTGGGGCGTCAGCAGTGGGCCTGCAAAGAGAAAAAAGTGCTGAGTAAGACTCCAAGACACTGCGTGCCCAGCCACGCGCACCTCCGCTGTCCCTTCTGGGTGCTACCACAGGTCAGCAGAGCTCACGGGGGGAGTTTTTGCTCCTACCTTGAAACATGGAGCTGACAAAATGGGGATCCAGATGTTCTACACGCCGTCCTGTCAGCTCCTCTCTCTCAGCCAGGGCACAGACACAGCGGGAGACTGGGATCAGCATGCCTGTGTACTGCGCTGGCACCACAAACAACAGCAGCCGCGGCCACAGGAGCTGTAGGGAACGAGGCAGTTGAGCAGATCAGCATTCCTGCTTCTGCTCAGAGATGAAGAGGACTCTGTGAATTTCCCCGAGTCCTGTGTGCTTCAGAGCACATTGGAGGAGAGACCTGGGGTCTTGGAATGGGACGAGGAACACGTGGAGCAAGGGCAGGGAGCAGCAGCAGGGCAGAGCGTGACTTACTTTGGACATCCCTCTCACAGAGACGTCCAGTGATCCCAGGATGTCCATGCACAGCTCCTGGAGAGCTCCTTCTTCCTGGGCTTCCCGGGCAGAAAGGTCTCCGGCTGTCTGCACAACAGTGGTGTTGAAACACTGGTTATGCTCAGTTCTCAGGAGCCTCTCAGGAGGCTCAGGTGTGGCCCCAGCGGTGCTTCTGTATAGCAGCCTCTGAGCAGCACGGGTCTTTCAAAGGAAGATGCTGCCCCCTGCCCTTACCCTTCTTCCTGTGGCGCGGCTGAACTCCCTGAAGATGTGCCCCACCACATCCCAGGCTGAGCAGCTCCGGGTGTTCGAACTGAGCAGATCCTTGATGAAATACAGAATAGCCGTCCTCACCTGCAAGGGGTCAATTATGGGTGTGATTTTCCTGGTCAGAAGGCAAAGGGAAGCAACCTGCTCATCGGGGCAGCCCTTTGGGCATGAGCAGAGACAGCAAGAGCAGTGGAGAGGCTTTAGCTACTGAGGTGAGGGCCAGGCCTTAGCACCAGGCTGTGCACTTTCCATGCACGGCACAAGGACCTGCCCGCTCCACTCTGCCTGCTCTCCCCACAGGAGCCATCATGACCGTGTGGCCAATGCCCCAGCACCTCTCTAGTCACCCCAGCCCTGCCTGTGCTGGCAGCAGCATCAACCCCAACAGCACTTTCCTTTCCCAAACCAGCTCACCCGGATGCTGGGGTCGCTGCACAGACGCTGCACAGCCTCGACGACCTGGGGCAGCATCTCCGTCATCATGGGCTCTGCAAGAGATGCACAGAAGCATGAGCGGAGCCACAGCGCAGATGGCAGAAGGGAGCCCTGGCAGTCCCAAGGCGTGGTACTGAGCAACCCGTGGTACTGACCATCAGAGCGAGCCAGAGCACCCAGCAGACCCAGGGCTGCCACGCATCCAGGCTCCCAGTCATCGCCCAGCTGCGACTGCAGAAACAGGATGGTTTCCTCTGGGCAGATCCGGGCTGCAGGGAGGAAATCCCACGCTATGTTAGCAAGAACCTCACGCCCATGCCTGAGGTTTGTGAGAGAGGTTTTGGCCAGGGCAGCGCCAAGCATGGCCAAAGCTCCTCTCCTTACCCTGCAGCATGATGCAGTGGGTCAGCTGTGCACGACCAGCCTCGCTGTGCTGCTTGCTGTCGTCATAGAGCTGTGGGAACAAGGTCCATTTGATACAATCACATCAGCACTGAGGACGGAAAAGACACTGTGCTGCCCGCTCTCGTCTCCCTGGGCAGTCTCGGGAAGAGGACAGGCAGACAAAACCCAGCCCACCCCACAGCATCCCCGAGAGTACATGCATGGCTCTGGAACAGCCTTGAGCATGCAGGAGCAAAGGCTGAGCCGCCTTATTCAGGGGCTCGGAGCTTTGCAGTCAACTTAGCCACAAGGGAAACTGCTGTGGGCGCAAGGATAGGCTCCCCTTACCTGGTAAAACACGGCACTGGTGACGTCCAGAAACTTGTCCCTTGGAATGACAGACTGAATGCCCCCTAAGGCCTCCAGGAAGATAGTGAGGCTCTGCAAGAGAGCAGGAGAGGAAGAAAGGGATGAAGCCACATCTAGCCACTCGGGAGTGGAGAAACTGTTTCCCAATTGTTTCTCTGCAGGGAGAAGCTCCTGCACAGGCGTTCTTGTTTATCCCCCACTTCCCAGCGGCACCAAGAGAGTCTCTCTGCTCGCAATCGAGCCGTGTTTGGGCATCATTTGCAGGCATTTCCCACCCAGCAGCCCACTTCTCCCCCATCAGATGCAACTGGATGTGGTCCCCCCAGTTGTTAGCATAGAGCTCCTCAGGCACTCAGAGCCCCACAGTGATGGTGAAGCTTCCCATCCCCAGGAGATGAGCCCCAGTGATTCTTGGTTCCCTCCTGGCTCCTGTCTGGGTTGTTCCTTGTCTGACTGAAGAGCTCAGGAAGCCTCAGACCTCCCTTGAACACCCATTCCTTCTTTCTCCAAGGGCTCCCCACCTCCTCCCTGACCCCTTGTGGCATTTGCACGGGCCCCACGTCTACCCTGAGCCCTGCACAACAACTCACCTTGGCCACCCTGCAGGTGTCTTGGATCTCCTGACACGGGTGAACGAGCCAGAGGAGCTGCTCCCAGACCTGCTCTTGGTGCTGCTCCTCTTGCAGGAGAACCTCCAACATGGCAGCCACAGCCCCAAGGACGGCCTGTTTGTCCTGGAGAGGATGGCAGAGGCCCGGCATCAAAGACTGAAGGTCTGCCCTTGCTACACAGAGGGCTTTCCCTTTCCCTTCCCCTTCCCCACACCCCCAAGCCCAGCAGGAGATGGGCTCGCTCTGGAGGGCAGGCAGCTTTTCCCCATACCCTCATCTCCAGCTCTTCCTGCCACAATGCTGTGACATGCAGCTGCTCCCTGGCACAGAGCCACTTCAGGGCCCTTTGCAGAGCCAGCCCACTCCCTCTCATCACCCCTCAGCTCTCAGCCCACTGGGCACAGACAGAGCTGCCAAAATGGGTGCCCCTGCTGCCATCCTGGGCTGGGAATGCAGCAGTGCTCACCTGTTCCTCCTGGCAGTCTTGCCAGTTCCACACCACAGAGAAGAGCAGCTCATGAAGGTTTTCATAGATCTGCTCTTTCTCCATGTCAGTCCAGGGGCATTGCATTCCTGAGGACAAGTAATTCTTGACTCCATCCAGCCACTGTTTCAAAACTGAAAAAACAAAATAATAAAAAAAATAAATTATTATTATTATTTTTTTTAAGAGAGTGAGAGAAAACGGAGTCTGTGAGAGTCTGCAGCAGGGCTGTTCTGGGGCCGGCACTCACCAGCACAAGCGACGCGCAGGATCTGGCCACTCTTCACCTGGCCCACCACACTGCGCAGGCCTGCCAGCATCAGCCACACAAAGGGGATGCACTGTGGAGCTGCAGAGAGGAAGGAGAGGGCCACAGTCAGAGTCCTGGCAGCGAGGTAGGTGGACAGCAGCCCTGCAGCCCCCAGCTCAGTGCAGATCACACTCAGAGGGCAGAGACCCCTTTCCCGGTTGTTACAGATGTCAGGAGGTTGAGGGTACTCTACCATAGGTGCTGAAGAGTTTGCTCAGGGTGATGAGCACCAACTCCTTGCACATGTCCCCCGTGGCCTTCAGGTGGCTCTGGAGCTCAGCCATCACCAAGGTGAAGTGCGTCCGAGCCAGAGCCACCAGGACATTGCTGGCAGCTGTCTTGACATTGCTGGTCACGCCCTGGAAGAGAGTCACTGGTGACACGCGGCCCAGGAGACTGCCTGAGGCCCTTGGAAGAGCAAAGCCACCACCATCCGCCAGCAGCACACCAGCGTGGGCAGGCGGTTCCCTTTGCCTTTGGGAGTGAGCCCTCACCTGGGCTGCCGTCAGGTCCCGGGACACCTCTGCCAGCAGCCGGTTCACCACTCCGCACGGCGGGCGGCTGCTGTCTTGGCACAGGGCGCTCTCCAGCTCACAGTACGCCTGCGCTCGGTCACCCTGGGGACAAGGATCAGTCACGCTCGCTTTGCCCGCTGCCACCCATCGCTCGGTGGATGTGCTGCCGGGCCTGGCACCCACGGCACCGTGGCCCTGGGCCAGGAGGGCAAGGGTTGCTGGTTGGATGTGCCCAACTCACCTCCTGATCTTGCAGGCGCCGAAGCAGTAAGGTCGCGGCGCAGGTAGGGACAGGGCTTGACACCCTGCTTCTCTCCCTGCGACGCGTACGCCTGGGCACGCAGCCCACACAAGCAAAGAGACCTGGAAGGAAAGAGCAGAGCAGCTGCTGCAGGTGTTGCTTGGAGCCAGGGCCGAGCATCTGGCCAGCTGTGGGAGGAACGCTCCTCCAGCCCCACAGCGCGAGGCTGCGTGTGGTTGGTGGGGACAGGGGAAGGAGCTTTCCCCTTGCTGGGGTGCTGGGGAAACCACGGTGAGCAGCTGCACTCAGCAGAGCAAGGACAGTGCTGCTGGCACGTCCTAAACAGACACTGGAGGCACACGTGTGCTCAGGCAGCGTTGTGGTGTCCAGAGAGGTGGAGGGACTCACCTCGAAGGGCTCTCAGCCTCTCCATGATAGCAGGATGCCTCCAGGTAGATGCAAAGCTCTCTCTGGTTCCACTTCCTGCGGGTCCCACAAGCGGACTGAGCCACCGCTCCCACCGCTCCACAAGGGTGGATGAGGCAGCCACTGTGACACCACACTGCAGTGTCACCTCACAGAGAATGAATGACACGCCCCGGGCTGGGGAGCAGGCAGGTCCCCAGGGCAACCCTGCAGGCCCTCAAACACAGCACGTTTGTGTGATGCAATCGGCTCTGGGGTTCCGGTTCCATGCTGACGCAGGGAATCACCTCAGCGGGTGATGGAGAGCCCCTGCCAGGGAGCAGCTGCTGGGCACCGTTGCCCGGCGTTGTCTTGGTGACTGGGGACTCCATGCCGGGAGGCACTGAGGCCCCCATCTGCTGCCCGACAACCTCTCCACAGAGCTCTGCTGTCTACTGGGGGCACGTGTCAGAGATGTTAAGGAGACTCCACCGCATCTGATCAAAAATGAATACATTAATACTAGAAAATAAAACTTCTTTATGGTGAATGTAACAGAACAGCGGAACGGGCTGCCCAGAGAGGCTGTGGGGTCTCCTTCTCTGGAGACAATCAGAACCTGCCTGGACACATTCGTGTGTGACCTGATCTAGGTGTTCCTGCTAAGGCAGGGGGATTGGACTGGGTGATCTTTCAAGTTCCCTTCCAATCCCTGACATTTAGTGAAACACATCCCTCTCACAGAGACATCCAGTGATCCCAGGATGTCCATGCACAGCTCCTGGAGAGCTCCGTCTTCCTGGATGGTATCTTGTTCATGATGCTGCCATCTTGTTCAAAGCAAAGGTGGGAGGTTCCTTTTTCCCCCTTGTTTGTTAGTTTCTAAGCCTTTTGCACACTTTTCCAGCCATGAGTCAAGGCTGTTAAGGCAGTCTTCCCTCTTCGGTGTTTTTTGGACAATAAATACGTGTTGTTAAAATGGAAGGTTAAATCACGAAGGAGGGATTGCCTGCACTACTGAAAGCATTTGTGTTGTTTGCTCAGATGCCCCCCTGGGAGCTGAGATCTTGGAGAAAAATCTCATTTGATCCATAGGTGCTATACACTTGAAAATGTGGCCCCTCAGTGCTATCTTGGTAAATCTCCTTCAACGTTCTTGAATTGGATGCAGAATGTGCAGTCACCTTTCTTGATCAAAGGAGGGGTTTCCCTAAAGCTTACTCTTGAAATCCGCGGTTACGAGTTTGCTTCAGTCACCCATGCACTGTGCAACGGTCAGCAAAAAGTGTTCAGATTTAATGTCAACAGCTCTTGGTATAACACTCCTTCACAGCAAAGCTGAGCAATGAGAAGAAGAGGCAAAATCTGCTCAGTCGTGATGAGTTGTGTCTTGTCCTTTACCAGTTCAGCAGAGCACAAAATACCCATCTCTTCAATGAGGAAAGGGGGTAATGAAGCAGATGCAGGAGCAGGAAACCAAGCTGGAATGGAGACTTAAGACCAGGTGATAGTGCCCTTTGCAAATGAAACAATTCACTAGAAAGTGATTTCCACCTCTCTGTCCCTGAAATGTCCCTTGACTTAAACCAAAGGCACATTTTTCCCCTCCAAAATTAGTACATCGGTAACTGGGCAAGAGTTTATCTCCTGATTCCACAGTGTCCTTCTCTCTTTCAAATTTGTATTTCTATTGCACCATTCCAAATACCTGGATCGCTACCGCTGCTGCAACATTAATAAAATGCTCTACAATATAAACAAATTACTGTGTTTTGAGTGCTATTAAAAAAAAACAGCAACAAAAAAAAAACAAAAGCAAAAATAACCAGCACTGGCTGCTGACAGCTTTTCTGAGAGAAATGAGGACAATAGAAAGCGCCTAGAATGATTATGTCCTTCTGAGGTCCGACTGCATGGAAAGGTAGCAGAAGACCTTTTAAGTCCCCTGTAGGCTGACACTTGGGCAGCTGTCAGTGACGTCAAGTTCCTTGTCCATCTCATCATAGTTTGTGACTACAGCATGCTTATTTAGTTGCTCTTGAGCTGTATAAACTCAGTTTTTCCATCACACTGGCAAGGAGCTGGCATGCCTTGCCTTTTTCCTCCATCTTAAGATTAGACAATGAAGCCACAGAGCATACAATAGTGGTTATTTTCCTGTGGGGACACATTGTTTCTGGAGGAACTAGTGTTTTGTTTAAGAGTAGCTTTATTAAAGAAGAGAAGTTTGTGAGGATTAACCCCAATCTACTACCTTTTCTTGGGACAGCATGTCTGGGGTCACACAGTAGGGGAAGTGGAGGTAGGATTATTTTTCAACTATGATGTGTATGAGAAGATAACTTCTATCCCCTCCTCAAAGTACAAATCAGACAAAAGATTTACCTAGTTCATAACCTGATCTTCTGCAGTGGTCAGAAGCAGAATCTAAGAAAGGAATACATTAAATTGAAAAAAAAGAAAAAAGCAATATGACTCTTGTCTGCTATACATTTTCAGTCTCCACCAGGCAGCCGTTGAGATTCAGTTTAATAAACTACCAATAGCCTCTTCCCAGTTTTACAATCCCACTTTTTTTTCAGCTGCCTTGATTTGTAACGGTGAGATATGCACACTAGGAAACCAGATTATTTATGTTGGTTTTCAAGTCTGCTGCCTGATTATTTCATGGTGTGCTTCCTGACTCTTGTAGTAAGAGAATAATGCTCCTTGCCCACCTTCCCCATGCCATCTGTGGTTGTATCTGTTACCAGTATAGAGGAACGAAAGGATCACTGTCACTTCTTCATCTGTAAGAGGTCCCCTGCTTCTTATCACCCTCTTCATCCTTTTCTCTGTCTTCTTTAATTCCTTTCTACCCCTTTGGAAGAGACTGACCAGAACTGCATACAATAACCCTGTGTCCTCCATTTGGTTTCTGCACTGACATTGCTTTCTTTTTTCCCCCCAAAATGTCCAACACAATATGCAAAGTATTCCACCCTGCCTTAGCAATGTGTATGTCTCAGGCTGAGGCAAGTTAATTTTCTACTACTAGTGGATAAGTATTCTGCTCTCCAGTGCCCATTCACTCACTGGAGTCGTTCACAAAGTGGTTGTAGAGGAAGAAGTCACAAGTCTGTGATGTAAGCACATACTCCTAGGAGATTTGACTTGTTCTGATAAATCACCAGTAGAGTTATTAGATGGAACTGATTCCACAAGTTACAATTCAGACTGGCTTCAAAAGCTTAATTAAAAATATGTGAAAAGGATTTTTTCTCCATCCATAGCCCAGAGAATCTCCAAGATTTGCAGTTTTCAAGAGCAAAAAACTTCTGTCCTTTCTCAGGAAGCTGCTTGAAATTTCCTGACCCATTTTGAATGTAGCCTGGATCCCGATCAGTAAAACACTATGCATTAAGCACCTGCTTAACACGAAGAACTAGTAAGAAGGTTAAAAATGAGTAAGCCTACTCTTATTTAGGTCTTTATTCATTGCAGCAATTAAATACGTGCATTAGTGCTCTGCTGCATCAGGATCTAAGTACTTGCACACAATTAAACACTGTGCTGAACTGAGTCCCAAAGCCAACATTGCTGTATAGGATTTTAACCTATATTTCTGTCTACTGTGCACTTTACTTTAATGCAGAGAATATTTATTACTTTAACAGATATTCTACCTTGAAGTGGGATTTACTCTATAACATATGTCACAGAGTGCTATTTTAATGATTCCAACTTGCGGAAATATTTTGTGATAGGAACAATTTATCTCTTGATTAACCTCTTCAAGGCAGTTCTAAGCATTAGTGCATTTGCTGCTTTGGTGTCAAAACATTCTAAAGCTACATATACAATAAACTAATTCAGAGTTCCATGTTGTTTTATATATGTACATGTGCATGATTTATTTATATGTATAGGGAAAAAATGCTTGCAAGAAAGGTAGAATGAGTTTTAAATCTTGTCTCATTGGAGTTGGAGCTATAAGATTGTATGACCATGAAGATCTACAACAATGCAAAGGCTTCAACTGACTACACAAATGCTGCTGTTCACACTGGTGCCTCCAGCTATCCCTGATTCCTTTTGGTTTTGCATTGTGAGCTTATTTAGCCAGGAATGCTTCTTTCAGCAGAGGCATCTGCAGCATATTGAATACTGGAGCATACTGTGATCCATTCTGCTTTTATCCAATAGAGCTGCTGGGGTGACTAAGATGCAAAGAAGTCCCAGGACTTGCCCAAGCCCACACAGTGAGTCAGTGGCCCAGCTGTTTTCAGAAAGAATAATTTTCCCATCTTTTTGCTCTAAAAATTTTACTGCATAGCATCCTATATGCACATTAGACTAAAGTTCACTGGCTTATTAGGATACAGTTTTTTGGGTTTTTTTTCATCTTTACTGAGTAGATTTTGACAGAATTAATCAAATACCACTGGGATTCCAGCTGCCTGACCTGTACACGGAATTGTGATCTAACCCATCTAGGGTTGCTTGTTTGCAGTACCATCCCTCCTCACTACAATTTCTTCCAGTAAGAGGCAGGAACACATATTCTGTCATTGGTTTTGTTTCCTCACTGACTTGGAATAGTAGAATTGTTTGAGATGGAAGGGATCACTGAAGACCATCTAGTCCAACTCCCCTGCAATGAACAGGGACACCCCCAGCTTTGTCAGGGTGCTCAGAGTCCTGTCCAGCCTCACCTTGAGTATCTCCAGGCATGGGGCACCCACTGCCTCTCTGGGCAATCTGTGCCAGTGCTTCACTACCCTAGTTGTAAAAATCTTCCTTCTATCCAATGTAAATCTCTCATCTTTTAGTTTGAAACCATTTTCCTTCATCATATCACCACAGACCCTGCTAAAGAATCTGATCCCTTCTTTCTTATAGCCCTCCTTTTGATACTGAAAGGCTGTTCTCGGGTCTCATCAACTTATCTATCCCAGAGACAGAAACAGAAAGACATTTAAATTAGAATTTTCACTTGAAAGATTCCAGTGAAAAAGTATTAACTTACTCTTAGCTATTTGGTCGTTGCTGGTTTTGGTTACTAT